TCCGGTGCAGCGGGCGCGCGACACCCAGTGACACCCAGGGCCCCGCCGGACCCATCGCCCCGGTAACAGCAGAGGGAATGCCCGCGAGGGCTCAGCCGGGCCTTAGCTACAGTCAGCTCCTTCCTTTCCCCTAAACCAGCGGTTCTCAACCTTCCTAACGCCGCGACCCTTTAATACAGTTCCTCATGTTGTGGTGACCCCCAACCATAACATTATTTTCGTTGCTACTTCATAACTGTAATTTTGCTACTGTTATGAATCGTAATGTAAATATCTGCTATGCAGGATGTATTTTCATTGTTACAAATTGATCATAATTAAAGCATACTGATTAATCACAAAAACAATATGTAATTATAGATGTGTTATCCTATGGTCTTAGGCGACCCCTGTGAAAGGGTCGTTCGACTCCCAAAGGGGTCGCGACCCACAGGTTGAGAACTGCTGCCCTAAATGTTTCCAACTACATTATCTCTTTATTTTGTTTTCATTTTTTGTTAATCCTCACCCAAGGATATTTTTCCATTGATTTTTAGAGAGAGTGGAAGGGAGAGGGAGAGACAGAGAGAAACATCAGTGTGAGAGAGACACTTGGATGGCTTGCCTCCCACACTCACCCCAATCAGAATCAAACCTGGGACCCTTCAGTCCGAGGGCCAACACTGTCCACTGAGCCAAACCGGCTAGGGCCAGTTAGTATCTCCCTAAATCTCCCTCTCTCTCTCTTTCTTTCTCTCTCTCTCTTCCTCCCTCCCTTCCTCCATCCCTTTCACTCTCTCTAAGTCAACCTGTTGCCTCCTGCACACGCCACACTGGGGATCGAGCCTGCAACCCAGGCATGTGCCCTGACCGGGAACAAACCGTGACCTCCTGGTTCATAGGTCAGTGCTCAACCACTGAGCCACACCAGCAGGGCAGTATTTTCTTAATCCTCCTCTCCCCAGATACTCAGTAATGTCATCCTCCACACTGAGTATTAGCTGAGGCTCAGTGAGGTTAAGACCCTTTAAGGGCACAGCGCTGTGCTCTTCTTATGGACATCATCATCATCATCATCATTATTATTATTGGCATTTTACTGAGGATGGGGTGGGATCGTGTATGCAGAGTGTTTAGAAAGCATTGAGGTCACAGTTCAATTCCCAGTGTGGGGTGTGCAGGAAGCAGCCAATCAATGATTCTCTCTCATCATTGATGTTTTTATCTCTCCCTCTCCCTTCCTCTCTGAAACCAATAAAAATATACTTAAAAAAAGCATTATAAGCAGTTATCTTGGGGGTTCTCAGTAGCAGCACTTTGACATTTGGGCGGAAAATTCTTTGTGGGGGGGACTGGCCTGTGCATTGTGGGATGTTTAGCAGCCTCCCTGGTCTGCTCACTCCATACGGATACCATTTCCCCATTCAGTTAGGACACCCAAGTGTCTGCGGACAATTCCCATGTCCCTCGGGGGCAGCACCATCCCTGGTGGAGACCCAGAGAGAGTGGGTCCCTGTTGTCATTAACCAAGACCTCTCGCACCCGTCCCGCTCCCGCTCCCGCTGGCAGCTCTCCGCCGCCAGTTACACACTGTCTACCAGTCCGTGGACCTGCCCGAGACACACCAGATGCTGCGCCAGACCTGCCGGGACTTTGCTGAGAAGGAGCTGTTTCCCATCGCGGCCGAGATAGACAAGGAACACCGCTTCCCGGTGGCTCAGGTAGGTGCCGCCTCAGCAGCCCAGGGAGAGCGTGCCCTCGGCCGGGCTCCGGGTGAGAGGTGATGGTGACAGCCAATGACACGGAGCCTCTAGTCAGGAACCCGAAGGCAGGCCTTGGGACCCAGCAAATGCTCTGGAAGTTCCCCGAGTTCAGCATGAGGCCCGTGGCCGGGATTTAAGTTTTGGAATAACAGTAATAGTGGTGGCTGGTGGCCACGCTTACCGGGTAGCAGGCATGGTGTTAATAACAACACTCAAAACGCGCCCTTGCCACGTGCTGGGCTCTGTCCCCCCTGCTTGGGAAGTGTGAGCTCCTCTGTCCTCACAACAGTCCTGTGTGCTGTTGTCACATACGTTGATGAAACGCAAGTTGGCGAGAGGGTTAAAAACGTGCCCGTCTCCCTGGCCTGCGACGTGAGGCTGACTCAGCTTCGTTCTCGGAGAGACTGCACTGAGAGAACACACGCACAGCACTTCAGCAGAGCGGGCACGTTTCTAGGCCCGCACTCGGTAATTCACCGCCACGAGCTCCGTTACTCCAAATGAAAACTCCCTGGCTCCTCCCACTCGCTCATTCTCTCGCTGTCACTGGGAATGGAGCAGTGAGCAGGCACACCGTCTGCCTCGTGGTCAGGGAGAAAGACCTTAACCAAACGAGCACAACAGGTGACATTCCCGCTGCATAAGCACTCGGGGGAGAGGCGCAGGTGTAGCGAGACTGGGGTGACAGCCCCGAGAAGTGGTGGCTTGAGCTGAGAACCAAAGGGGAGGAGGAGATAATACCTAGTGGATAAAGGTCATGTCTGACTGGGAGCAGCATGTGCAAAGGTCCTGTGGTGGGGAGGGGTGTGTGTGGTATGCCTAAGGGACTGAGAGAAGGTCACTGTGGTACTTTGCTGCCACGCTTCTCACCTTGGAGGCCTCTGTGCCTTCTCCTGCTCAGTGGTTGTGGCTGCAGAGGTGAGCCGTGCGGAGTGCGGGCCAGGGCGGCTTGAGGGCGGTGTGCTGAGGGTGACTCCTTCCCTGAGACCAGGTGAAGAAGATGGGCGGGCTCGGGCTGCTGGCCATGGACGTGCCGGAGGAGCTGGGCGGCGCCGGCCTCGATTACCTGGCCTATGCTATCGCCATGGAGGAGATCAGCCGGGGCTGCGCCTCCACCGGCGTCATCATGAGCGTCAACAACGTGAGTCCCCGTCCCGGACCTCGGGGACCCGGGTGGCGGGGGCTTACCTGGGCAGGCACTCACCACGTGTCCGGCTCCTTGGTCCTTCGGGCTCTGGAGAGAACAGGCCTTGCGGTGGGTCCTGGGTGGACAGGTGCCTGGGCTCGAGGCCTCCGACCGCTCCCTCTGCCCCACAGTCCCTCTACTTGGGGCCCATCATGAAGTTTGGCTCCAAGGAGCAGAAGCAGAAGTGGGTCACGCCATTCACCAGCGGCGACAAGATTGGCTGCTTTGCCCTCAGTGAGCCAGGTACACAGTGGGGCTGCCTCTGTCCCCTCCCCTCCGTCCCCTCCCCTCCGTCCCCTCACCTCTGTCCCCTCCCCTCTGTCCCCTCCCCTCCGTCCCCTCCCCTGGCCTCCGCATCTCAGCAACGGGTGACAGACTGGAGCCACTGCGCTGCCCCTGGGGAGGCGGAAGCTGGGGCCTGTGCTGACTGGGAGGTCACCTCCCCCCTGGGAGGGACACTCGCGCTGGGGTCCCCTGTCTGCAGCTGCTGCACGCCCCT